ATTTTGACACTTTTCAACCTACACATTTTTCCTTGACCAAAACATTTCGTTACACTAGCTTTTTAAGTTCTGCTGAGTTGAATATGATCAGTGTCAGAAAAATCAAAACATCGAGACATTCTACAAGATACTGTGGTGTATGCTACTTTTATCGACATAAGTAGTGTATAACGCTCCTCAGGAATAGAATGTCCGGCAGCAGGTGCTCAAGATGATCGAGAAGGAAAGAACTGGAACAAAAATCATTAGCTATGGAAATGCAGCAATTGATTTACATTTTGCAAATGAAATATTCACTGTACGCTTTTCAGATCTTCTGTAAGTTCGTGTTCAAATATATTCGATTAACCCCACTTGTGTTCTTATTCCCTACAATACTATCTTATGACTATCAAAAGTTGAGTATACTGATTGCTATCTCAGTATGACATACGAATATGAAAGAATGAAAACAATTGTGAGTTGCTGATAGTTAATCCAGATAGTTCAAAGTATTACTTACGTATCATGAAACCACCTAGTAAATAATGATAAATTAATCCACATGGTACTTTATGGAGATGCGAAACCAGTTAAAGAAGTTATAAATCTTTAGTGACTGAAGTAACTAAGGCTTGATCTGTTCACGTTCATTCAATTTCTAACTGTGAAAACTATGCTAGTGACGATGTATGGATGGTAGTATCTGTTCATTGATGTCATTAACGTTTGGTCTGCACTTCATGAAAGTTTGCGATTTCCACGATTACTGACCATAAGATTAACTAGTCTATGCCTGGAAATTTCGGATGAAATCTTTCACGTTTAGTCACAACGTTTCATTTGACTTAATTGTGGAATGTAGCTATTATATCATATATTTTCATACCTTGATTTTCTACATTCTACCCGAATAATGATTTATATATTTAATTGTTTCACTGTTGTTATCATTAGTACTACTTTAACAATATTACCTACCAATTTTGTCAATAAAATCTTCGTTATGCTGATTTGGTATAAGAAAATTTGAAATGATACAAACTTATGTTATATTATAATATAACTATTCCCTTACTTACTTACTTACGCCTGTTACTCCCAATGGAGCATAGGCCGCCGATCATCATTCTCCAACCCACTTTGTCCTGGGTCTTCTTTTCTAGTTCCATCCAATTCTTGTTCATCTTGCTCATGTCTGTCTCCATTTCCCGGCGTAATGTGTTCTTTGATCTTCCTCTTCTCCTTTGACCTTGAGGATTCCAAGTGAGGGCTTGACTTGTAATGCAGTTGTGTGCTTTCTTCAATTTGTGTTCTATCCACTTCCAGAGGTTCTTCCTGATTTCTTCCTCCACTGGGATCTGCTTTGTTCTCTCCCATAGTAGGTTGTTGCTAATAGTGCCCGACCAACGGATCCGAAATATTTTTCTTGGACAACTGATAATAAACACTTGTATCTTCTGGATGATGTCTTTCATAGTTCGCCAAGTTTTCGTCCGATGCAATAGAAATCTCTTGACATTTGTATTGAAAATCCTGATCTTGGTGTTGGTTGAAAAATTATTCAACTATTCTCTACCTATATATCATTACGTTGATTACACAAGTCACGACCGATGAGTGAAATCTATATAAATATCAATATGGGGTTGTGGAGATTGAAGAGATTTTGATTCAGATCATTAAAATGATTGGTGTTTGACTACCATTAAAAACCTAGAAGCAACAGAATGGCAGTATGGGACAACTCAGAAGTATGCATTCAAGATCTCACACGTGAGCCTCGAACCTTGGTCCTTTAGTCCTGCGTGAAAACGCTTAACTTCTAGATTGCTGAACAGGTAACCAAAGGTCTTAATGTCTTACTTCAACCAATCCAAAGAAATTACGCAACCATCTTCCATCGACTGAGATAGACACTTGTCTATACTCGATATAGATTAGCTCCACTGATCACTAGAAATCCGAGGGAATTTTAATTCACAATTCAGCCAGAGAGTTATTCATACAAGAACTAGTAAACGGATAGTATATATGAATATATGAGTTTATATGCCTATATATATAAAACCAAATACTAACATCAATACATAGTATATTACAATAGTTGAGATCATGAGTCATGATCACCATGGAAAACCTGGAAGCATTGGACAGCCGTTTCATCCTACTGTGGGACTCCTTATCAGTGAGCAACCACCATCCCGCCTCAGGAGATTTGAACCTAGAACCTATCAATCTTACGTGCAAGCACTTAGCCACTAGACTATTGAGGAGTTTGACAGTAGGACAAGATAACTGTCCAGTACTTCCAGATTTTCCGTGATGGTTTAGCTTCAATTGACTCATGATCTCAACTATTGAATTTGCTATAAAACATACAAAAAACGCCTTCTGAAATAATATGTAAATATTTATAATTATAAGAGAAAAAAGAAAAAACAACATATTTCACAGTTGATTAGAAAATTTCCCTTTGATGTATCCTAGAAACAATTGGAAATGCTAATTCTCTGTTTCCTTTTTCTTTTTTTGTTTTTTCTTTGGAAATCTCCAATTTTTTTTAATTTAGGATAATACAAATAACTGAACAATATTAGGTGAGACTATAATTTATAGACGACCTTTGATCGATGATAGACTGATCTTCAGAGTGTCTACCTAATAAGTAGGACCACATGAGGGTTATAAACCAGTGTGTGAGGAATTAAAATTATGATTTACTGTTGATGATTAAGGTTAGAAATTAGATTTAGGGTTTTCATCACAAGCTGGCATTAGCTTTGATTCCAAAACGTTTTTTAGCCAAATGAATGAATTTTGCGTCAAAATTCGAGGTTTATTATCTTATACCTGATTAGTTTGTTTATAAATTACAGTCTCGCCCAATATTGTTTTCGATTACATCCTCATCAAGCTTTAGTCTAATATGCGGTAATGTATTTATAAACATATATGAAATCTTTTTGATTGAGATCATGAGCCAATTGAAGCTAGAACACAATGAAAACCTGGAAGCACTGAACGGCTGTTTCGTCCTAGTGTGGGACTCTTCAGCAGTGAGCGTCCACAGTTCCGCACCCCGTGAGATTCGAACTCAGGACCTATCAGTCTCGCGCCAGGAGCTTAACCAACTAGACCACTGAACCAGCACCCAACGGTGTTAATGCCTAACCTCAACCAACCCACAAAATTGCGCGACCATCTTCCATTGTATCGAGGTAGACACCTGTTTCTACCCGACACGGATCAGCTCCACTGAAATCATTAAATCAATCAAAATAGTTTATGAGTCAATGATGATAACTGTGGAATAGATTACATAAATAATTGAAAAGTACAAGTCAGTAGAGTGAAAACAAGTGTACTGGTTGTAAAATGTCGTCGATAAACGAACTCACCAATGTTAAAGTGAAACGCCTACCACCACATTAACTTTCTTTGACCTTGTATCACCATATATTGTTTATTCACCAATCACAATTTTATGTTCATTATAAAACAATATTTGTCTTTTTGATTAAACGTTCTCTTCACTGCACTAGTCAGTCTACCATATAGCTACATCACCAGCTACATCCCCATTGAACCGCAGCTTCAAGAAGAGAAGTTTCTTACTAGCCGTTGGTGTCGTTATTTTGATATTTGTTACACGAAAGTGTTTCTTCAAGAAAACCGTGTGGATAACGCATTTCGATCAACATATCATGTATGAGCTCTAATTCCTTGTTAATTGTATCAAATAAACATATCATAAAAACTCTATTTATCATGCACTTTACTAAGTTTCTCTTATAATGAAGGTGTACAAAGCTTAAGAACTGTGTATATTGGCTTAATGAAGAACTTTTCCTATACACACTTCTACTGATAGAACGAAACGTCAAGGAGATGTAGTTTATTATCTAGTTCCTCATCACACGTAAATTTAGTCGCTGGATGTTTGATCTTAGATATTTTTTAAATAGTTCTTTTTTCCACTGTTCTGACCAACAATAATGAAAGTATCATCAATGTAATGACAAAAGAATTCAAGCTTATCAATAACATCTTTGGGAGGTCTGTTTTCTAGTTTCGCAAGGATAGGACCCATCGCGATACAATCAATTTATCTATAATGTGTTAATAAAGACAAAACATAAGTAATTCTTTGAGACGAACCTCAGGAATTCCAATATATTGATAGAAAAAGAAACCCAAGTGCATTTAAACTTCACCCCATTGCACAAGTAAGTGGTTATCAAAACACAGTAACTAAGTGGGTGAAGCGATAGCGTTTGAAACGAATGTTAAGTGGTTCCAGTTCAAGAGTGACTTTCAACTCTGAGATGCAGGTACATCCAGATGACGAATTCTAAATAGAATGAAACGCGCATCATGAACACCACTATTAGCCACTATGCAATATAACATGTATGTATATCTGAAAGAAGATTTCTTTATCATATATTATTAAATAAGTCACGGAAATTATCAATGTAAAATTTCTTTAAAAATTTCGTTTGAGATCATGAATCAATTGATGTTAGTTCACCTTTGGAAACCTGGAAGCACTGGTCGACCGTTTCGTTCTATTGTGGGGCTCCTGAGCATTGCGTATCCACAATCCTGCTCGCTGAGGAGTCACACAGCTGTCCAGTGCTTCCAGGTTTCCACCTATGGTCTAACATCAGTCGGATCATGATCTCAATCAATCATAGCTTAATCTCCATAACTAGTGTACTGATAATATCTTCAAAATAATGAATCAATGTTATGTATATTCATCAAGAATTTCATAAACTTACTAAATAATCATTTACTATAAAAGAGTATAATGCATAACCTCGTTTGACCGCTCACTTTATCCACAGATAGTTTATTGTTTCAATGTAAGATTGACATCTTACTTTTCTTTTACTCTATTTTGCTTTCCATTTCGGAAATTTTATTCGCAACTTTCTAAAAATGAATGACAATCAATTATTTACATAAACGAAACAATTCATAAGGAAATAGTTCTATGAATGTTACATTTAATTTCATGATGATGATGATGATGATGATGATGATGATGATGATGATGATGATGATGATGATGATGATGATGATGATGATGATGATGATGATGATGATGATGATGATGATGATGATGATGATGATGATGATGATGATGATGATGATGATGATGATGATGATGATGATGATGATGATGATGATGATGATGATGATGATGATGATGATGATGATGATGATGATGATGATGATGATGATGATGATGATGATGATGATGATGATGATGATGATGATGATGATGATGATGATGATGATGATGATGATGATGATGATGATGATGATGATGATGATGATGATGATGATGATGATGATGATGATGATGATGATGATGATGATGATGATGATGATGATGATGATGATGATGATGATGATGATGATGATGATGATGATGATGATGATGATGATGATGATGATGATGATGATGATGATGATGATGATGATGATGATGATGATGATGATGATGATGATGATGATGATGATGATGATGATGATGATGATGATGATGATGATGATGATGATGATGATGATGATGATGATGATGATGATGATGATGATGATGATGATGATGATGATGATGATGATGATGATGATGATGATGATGATGATGATGATGATGATGATGATGATGATGATGATGATGATGATGATGATGATGATGATGATGATGATGATGATGATGATGATGATGATGATGATGATGATGATGATGATGATGATGATGATGATGATGATGATGATGATGATGATGATGATGATGATGATGATGATGATGATGATGATGATGATGATGATGATGATGATGATGATGATGATGATGATGATGATGATGATGATGATGATGATGATGATGATGATGATGATGATGATGATGATGATGATGATGATGATGATGATGATGATGATGATGATGATGATGATGATGATGATGATGATGATGATGATGATGATGATGATGATGATGATGATGATGATGATGATGATGATGATGATGATGATATATTAAAGTGATAATACAAATCTCTCTAGTATTGTTTACTAGATTATGAATGATCAAATATAGTATAAAACACTCAGTACTTGACATTGATATTTAGACTTGGTCAATTCGATAACTTTTATATTTCCCATATTTTATATCAAAGTTAAGTAATAAGTGAGTATTGTTATGTATGAGTGTTATTGATTAGGATTAGATCTTGTCATCCAAGGAATATATAAGTATATATTTGTTTACATTTTGATTTAGTTTCCCAGTGAAGCTGAATATTCGACTTTAGATTTCTTATTGTGGCAGAAGATTTATTTATTTGAACATTTAATTATTTGTACAATGGGGTACTGAATACATATGAGCCACATAAATAATTCGATTTGTGTGAAGGCTGTGATACAACCACTGTGCCCAAACCGATATATGTTGTTTTCTCAGGGGTTTTCACACGGAGCCTTCGACATAAATGTCTGATCCACAAAGCAGTGGAGCAACGTAAGGAGATGGAGTCCCATGCTATCCGGTGGCCAACAATTTGTTCATACGCCATTTGTTCCCTAAGAATCCTGAAGCCCATGTTCACCATCGATTTGAAACCGGGGTTTACCAACTCCTCTGGGCGGAACCCCATATGCATTAACCCTGTTAAAGCACTGGATATTCGCTTTTCATCCTCTCAATTTCGTAAAGAACACCTTCACCATGTGAAGGAAGTGAGTAGGACTTCGTTGGCAGTGGTTGTATGTATGTGGCCATGTGAAAGGATTCAGAGAAGGAGAGTGGACTTACCCTACTCTCGATCGTACTAGGGCATTTGGGTGCATTTGAGAAGCATATGTATCAATATCAAAATGGGATCACAGAACAACAACGACACCATAGATTTCAAAATCACTTGAAATAGTCATCATACGTAAACATAATTCATTTGACATTTAATTACAATATTATACATTATGTAAATGATAGATTGAAACAGTGTAGTGAATTGAAATAATTCTTGTCATTCTGTTACAAGCAATTTTCTAATAATTATATACAATGAAAACTTTATATATGAAACCAGTCTCCTAGAAACAGACTCTTAATATCTTTATTGAGGTATTAAACAACAATAATAATAATAATAAACCATTATCACTACATACTTATGATTTGTTTGTCTCCTGGTATATATGGATTTGATCATCTATGTCTAAATCAATTGACTAGATTGAATCGTTGATTATAGTGTACTTTCAATATTTACAATAACATGCTACATGCAGGTCATGTATAAGTAAAGCAAACTCTCATCGACTATCATATTGTTTAACTTTAAAACTGCAGTAGATATGAAAATCTTTATTATTGGTGACTGATAATCGTTTAGTAGTCACTGAACTATTGGGAAAATTGAAAATATATATTCAATCGTCTCAATGGAAAATATCACTGTTTATGAATGAAAATGATAAATTAGAAAACAAGATAAAATAAAGATTATGTAAATCATATCATACTGGATAATAAATCAATATTGCGAGGTAGTAAAAGATGGGGGGAAAAACGTTTATAAACATAGAAAGGATATTTGAGTCTTCATATGGTTAAAGCTTTAGTTGCCTTTGAGTATTCTTATACATAATTTGACTTGATATTAACTCTACAGTCAGTTTCAACAAACGGCGAGACTCTAATTTATGGACGACCTTTGAACGAGTCTTAAGTGTAGAGTAAAACGATGTTATACAAAACCAAGGAAATAAAGTGGATTCACTTCTTATACGCGGTTCAAAAACTTGTCAAGGTTAGAAAGAGGTTCAGAGGTTCTTAAGTCGTGATGCATGCAGTAGAGATCATCCATGCGGCTACAGAATAGTCGGCCTCTGGAGCCATGACAAAGTCTCAAAAACTATTTCAGCCTCGACCACATAGCTGCAATATTGTTTATGTGCAGTCGGGTTGATGAGTGCACAAAATGCTACTTGGGGATTACGACACGATGCACATAACCAAGCCTATGTAGGAGTCTATACGCTCTCCAAACATCCGTATATATTGTAGTACCTGGCTGCAGCCAGTGTTCCTGGTGCTTTTACTATCCAGTTTGCAGTAATTGTTGTAATTTGCCTTAGTTAGGAATTATATATGGAATTTTCATCGCGAGCTGACATCAGTTATAATGCCAGAAATTTATTTAGTCAAATGGATGAAAGGCTTTCGCGTTAAAATCCGAGATCTGTTATCTTATACCTGATTGAATCGTCCACAAATTATAGTCTCGCCGTTTTATTTGTTATAGCTTCTCAATTATCACGTTTTGTACAAAATTTCCTGTGAACCGAACGTACGTTAGCATTAAAAACGGAAGTTGGCGCCGTAACCTTGAAATCTCGCCTCTGATTGGCTTGTCCATAAATTAGAGTCTCGCCCAATAAACTATTCTTCAATACAGTAAGATATTGTTTTGATTAGACTACTATAAGTCTTATCTTTGTACTTCTGATGAACTCTATCTTTTTGTTGCATTATCCAAGCTGACCAAAAGAATGTAACTTTTTTTTCAACTTATTGTTTCTGATTTATAGCTTGAGTAAATTTTATAACTGCCATTTACTTTTCTCTTTGAAAACAGTCTCACTCCAATATGATAGAACTTCGTATTATTGTCTTTACTTTGTAGTAACTATCCTACAATCAATTTCGATTATGGTTAACATTGGTTAAACTCTTTTATTAAATTACTTAATAGACAATGTTATTTGGATAGTAATAATTTGTATATTTCTTTTTACCGTTATGATCACTAGAGAGTATATGACAGACTCTAGCTAAAATGTTGATTGCTTAAATATCAGTCGATGATTCATCCTCCTCACCATGTATGTATGTACTCAAATCATCGTATTAGCTTTTGCTTCACCTTACTGAGTCCTTATGCAGTTTGACTATAAATTTGCCTATGTAATTACTTGCATATACATATTCGCCTCTCAGTTTCAAATTTGCTCGATGTGATTGTAGCTTTGTGATCTCTGTACCATTCCTCAATAAAATGTAGTTGCTGGACACATTCCGTCTATTCTATAATAATCTACTGACCTCTCAGACATTTTGATGAATATTGACAGTCACAACGATGTCTCTGATTGTACTTCTTTGTAGACTAATTGAAAACTAAAGAATTAAATTTTTGATTAAAATCATGAACCGATTGATGTCAGACCACCGTTGGGAACTCGGAAGCACTGAACGGCTGTTTCATCTTAGTGTGGGACCGCTCAGCAGTGCGCACCCACGATCCCGCTCGTGGGATTCGAACCCAGGGCCTTCAGTCTTGCACGCGAACGCTTAACCTACTAGATCACTAAGGCGGTATCCAATTGTGTTAGTGTCTAACATTAATCAATCCACGAAATTGCGCGACCAACTTCCATTGTACTGAGGTAGATACCTGTCTCTACCTAACATGGATTAGCTCCACTGGTCAGGGCTTCTTACTAGAACTCCAAGAATTCCCTCACGAATCTAGTCTCTATTGAACACATGTTAATTGTCAGTATTAAATACGTACCAAGAACTACATATGTTGATTGTTATATAATTTTGTTGGAGTTTTGTACTCTGGGCTAAATGATCGTTTGATCGTGAAACTTTTATCATTCTTCTGAATAACATCATCAAGAAAATCTTCAGATAGAATTGGACTATTCGAATTTCTCTATATATAATTCACAACTTATCCTGTAAACCTTAACGTTCATTCGTGACCTTATTGATCTTACAAACCATAATCAAACTATTCAGTTGACAGGACAAAAATTTCATTCAAATCATTTACCTGAACCACAAATCATCTCTATCATCAGTTACTTAATATCAGAACCTTTTATCTATCTATCTATATATCTACCTATCTATCTATCTATCTACCTATCTATCTACCTATATATATATATATATATATATATATATATATATATATATATATATATATATATATATTATAACGTAATAAATGAAATATATATCGGCATAAGTGTATTCTTCTTTTATTAAGAGGTTAGAATAACTTGACTTGTTTTCAATCCAATCACTTGATTTAGATCAAACAGATGATTCCTCTGAAAAAAAAAGATGATGAACAATCAATCAATATACCTTTTTCAAAGTTTTGTTTCCAAGTATTGTGTATCCAAGAGATTAGAATAGTTTAAATCTAATTAGTAACAAGTGGTTTCAGGTCATTGATTAAATTAGAATTAAATTTAAATATCTTAGATTAAGTTTTCTTTTCATTTTTTTAAATTTTAATTGTTTTTTTTTGATTAAATGAAACCTTTTTTTAGTATTTATTCATTAAATATTCAGAATGGTTGTGAATCAACAAGTTTACCATATATGATAATTGAATTCATGAGTTAATCGAAACTAGACCATTATGAAAAACCTGAAAGCACTGGACGATATTTTCATTCTAGTATGGGACTTCTCAGCAATGAGCATCCAATATAATGCTTCCCGAGATTTCAAACCAGGACCGATCAGTGTCGCACGAACTGAGCCGGTCAGCCTGCATCGAACGATGTTGATTTCTAATTTCAACCAATCCACAAAATTGAGTGACATATTCACCATTGTCTTCAGTGAGTTACTATCTTACAACAGATTCGGTTGAACTCCAATGATCACAGCATTTCACTAGAACTCCAGGAAGTTCCTCTTAAAGACAGTCACTAGTGAGCATATGATGATTATAAACAGAAAAAGGTTTTATGGAGATTGTAATAATTTAATAATTGAATTCATGAGTCAGTTTATACTAGACCACCATGAAAAATCTGAAAGCACTGGATGGCCGTTTTTGAGTTCTAATGAAAAGCCGTAATCAATGGAGTTCAACCGTGTCTGTTGTGAGATAATAAATCACTGAAGACAATGGTGGACGGTGGCTCAATTTCGTAAATTAGTTGAAGTTAGACATTAACATCGTTGAATGCCGGCCGGCTCAGTTGTCTAGCGGTTAAACGTTCGTGTGCGAGACCGATAGGTCATGGGTTGTAATCTCGGGAAGTATTATATTGGATGCTCACTGCTGAGAAGTCCCATACTAGAATGAAAAGGTCGTCCAGTGCTTTCAGGTTTTCCATGGTGG